GAAGATGTGCAAGTGCTTTACTAACTAGTTGCGTAGTAGTTACGTATTGGAGACATCACCTACTGCGGTTTACAATGCCTTCAATACACATAGGTCTTGTGTCTTCTATATAGTTAAGATGGGAAATAGTTGGTAAATACAACATCTCTAGGGAGTAAATATGAAGAGCTGAAGCGGGCCTGCTGCTAGTAATTGGTTTCTTTGACACATATGAAAGTAATTTAACTTTCTGAAAGAGAGACAGCTTACTGCCCTTTTGTTTCTCTGAAGACAACTGCAAATCATCTAGCATGCGGCATTTCCTATGGTTAAAAAAATGAAAATAAAACAATGACCTTTTTTAGCTAGTTGTGCAGTGCCCTGTTGGGGAGCGGAGCACGAACCTTCCTGCATTGCCCTTGGACTTCAACCTGAGCTCTGCGGGGCAGAGCTACGTGCTGACACTGCAAACGCCCTGCTAATGCCCGGAGTGCCGGTGCCCCCTCCAGCCACCGCTCTGCAGAACTGGCCGTTCATCTGGGGAAAGCTGCTCAAAACCCAGACTCAAAGGGCTGCAGCAGCACGGGCACAAGGGGAACCAAACTGGGCCACAGGTGCCGAGAGAAACCAGAGCTGATTTTTAGCATCTGTTATCATAAAGGGGCAAGCATCCCCTGCATGACCTCTCATTGCTACACTCCGTATCTAAAGTAATTTTAGCTGTGGGAAGAAGGCACAATACACTGGCGTCCTGCCCCGAGTGCCAAAGTGAAACATCTTGTTCCAGCTCTGCTACCTCGTGTCCTTCCTCTCCCTGGCGGAGTTTGCTCCTCGGGGCAGGGCTTGGCCACAGCAGAAACACACACAAGCCATGCAAGAAAGAGAGAGAGCCGATACCATACCAAAGGGCAGGGCATGCTCACCCCGTCCAGGCCTGGTAAACCTGGGTCCCTTCTGCTGCCTGCAATGCTACCATCTCCCTGTTTGAAAAAATAACTGCCTGTTGAGAATGATAAAGGACATGGGAGTTCCTCAGACACCCGTGTTTCAGCAGAGGAGGACGGGTCCAGAACTTTACACCTCCGTTTCTGATGATACGGCAAGTCAGCAGAGTGGTTTTATGGTAGGGAATTCACAGACACGTAGAGTGTCATCTGGGAAATATCTCCTCTACACAAAACAGAGATTCACATTTGTGACAGCGCGGTGAAAAAGATGAGAGTTAAATCATCCAGCATGTTGAGGGAGGAAAGGTGATCATCAGAAACAAATTAATTGTAGTTCACATTCAATCTCCAAGCAAAATAAAGCATATTGGCTGAAGGAGCTTTTTGCTGGTACAGTGGAGCTATACAACAGCTTTGATTGCCATAGCTGTGCTGGTGGGGTCAGAAAAAGTCACACGTTTAGAAAAGAAATGGGTTTTTTGGAGCATGTTGGAGCAGGTACCTGGCACTACTAGTTAGGTGCAGCTGAACTAGAGGCTAAGCAGTTTTAGTTCAATAGTTGATACGAATCACTCTTTCATCCTGCAGCCTCAAAGCATTTTAGGGAAAGGATCTCTCTGGTTTTAGTCATTATATGAAAAACAGTAACGAAAAGGAGGTATATTTTACCAGGCCAGGTAACTTCTTATAAACCAGTATAGATTTTCTTTTTCTGGGCCCTATTAAAGGAATGAGAGGTTCTGCAAGTGGACTTAGGAGATCCACCTTCCTCAGGCTCAAACACCCAGGAGGTTTCCTGGAAAGCCTCTTTGTGCGGACGCTGCACAGCGGTGGCCCGGCATGTATCCGAGAAGGGACAGATCTGAGCCGCGAGCTGCTATCTCAGGTGGAGAAACACGGGGAGGTCTCTTCTCCCAGAGGCACTTCTTGGCAGCTTGGGGAGCTCCAGCTCATACATCCCTTGTCTTTGGCAGTGCTAAAATGCTATCAATTCCGACCTGCTTCCCCATGCGGGAGAGCTAGAGCCGGGCTCATCCCTCGCTGGGTTTGCGGAGATGAAGGGATGGAGCTGACCTTGTTTTCAAATCGCCTCCCATCCACTGCATCGACTTACTCCCCAGTTTCAAACGTACTCAAAAAGCCAGGCCAGCAGCTTCACCAGGGCACGCTATCTCCCAAAGAGCGTTACTGAAGCCCATTGTTCCCGACTACAATAAGAAGGTCTTTACACAAAGATTCTTTATTTTTACTGCTGTGGCTTGCTCCCATCTGGCCAGAGAGGAGCCCTTACAGCGAGCAGTGAACTTCCAGCAGTGCAGATAAAACAAACCATTAAGAAAAGTGAGAAAACAATAACCATCTGCTCTGATTTACTGTGAAATAAAGAACTACCAAAGCCTCCCTCCCTTTCCCTGGCTGCAAAGCCGCGTCCCCTTTCAGCCCCGGCAACGCATGCTTCGGATGAGTGAAATAAAAGACGTACCACGGGACAAGGCTGATCCAGTCCGGGAGGGCCTGGTTCCCCCTTCTGCCCTTTGGCTCCTTTTCTCCCCGGAATTCCTCGCTCACCCTGTTGATGCACCAGGAACAGATCAGGAACAGGAGGGGTGACGCCTCAGCTTTAACAGCACTTGCAGAGCCCCACACCTCACCCACGCCTCACAGAGTAGGGACGTTTGCACTAGTGTAACCTCAGCTGAGTAATTAAATCACTGTGAACATCTTCAGTTAAAGCTGGGTGGAGATATTTGAATAGATAATTTTATAACAGAATGACTAAATGACCGGTTTCTGCTAGAAACCGGGTTGGTATCTGACAGTAAGGGGGAGCACCAGCTTCCAGCCACTGCCCTGCGCTCAGCTGGGCTCCTGCCTCCGGCTGAGCACCCCTTTATTTAAGGATCCCTGTAACAAAACCTTTGACTTGGATCCATTTTCAAGGTCTATAAACCAAAACTAGCAATTCTTTGCAACCTGGAGCTGTCAGGCTGCTCCATTTCCACACAATGTGCCGGCGGGGGACAGCCTTGCAGAAAGCACTTCCAAGCGGGCAGGAATTAACTGCCATGTCCTGCCTTGTACTGGGACCACGCAAATACTTGTGCCACAGAAAAGGCCTTATAGCAACGACCCGAGAGGCCGGAGAGGGACCCAGCACCCAGGCCCAGCATCGCTGCCTGCCGAAAAGAGTGGCCAGTCCTGCCCCAACCCCGCTCGCCCCACGAGCATCTCTACAGCCGTAACCCACTCACCTTCTCCCCTCTTTCACTTCTCTCTCCTTTCTCTCCTCTCAGACCTGGGAAACCCTACCATGACAATTTTTAGGTGGAAAAAAAAAAGGTTTATAAGTTCAGTATGTGAACATCCTGGCATCTCAGTTCAACATAAGCAAAATCTCAGCGATCAACCCGTCCTCCCATGGTGAAGAACATGACATTTTTTTCCTTGTTCACTTAGTATCTCAGCAATTTCTTGGGAAAGCTAGTGCTTTACCTACCCCAGTAACATTACATCTATTGAAGATTTTTGTTTCACTGAATCCAATACAAATATTCTCCATTGGGAAGGGAAACCCCCACGGCACCTCTAGCCGAGCAGCGATACACGGTGTGGCACAGTCACTGCTGTGCAGTGCAAGTGGTCCCATCACGGCACCTCTAGCCGAGCAGCGATACACCGTGTGGCACAGTCATTGCTGTGCAGTGCAAGTGGTCCCACAACCGGCCTTTCCTACAAACATAGTTCCATGGGCACCGTGTTCAAGGGAGAGTCGTCTATACAGTGTTAGCTACATACTTTTCCGACAATCTCAAGCAATTTGATGGCCTTTACATACATGTTGTTCATGTTTCTACATATCACAATTAAGGTTCTCCATACTCACATCCAATCCTGGCTCCCCTGGCTTTCCCTGCAGTTGTAAAAATAAAAATTAAGACATGCCATATAGAGTTTGGTGTTGCAGGCAAACTTATATCCAATTTGGTGAAATATACGGTAGTGACAGCATGGGCTCACCCAACAGCCCCTGGGGCTCAAGGGAGCTCCTCGCCACCCGTCGTGATAGTGCTGGTAAGCCCGGCTCTGCAGTTCTGGCTGGAACCACCGCGGCAGGGATTTTATCAGCCCCTATTTTAGGATTACACCACAGCGTCACCGCTCCTTTCCCACACTGATGATTACCTTCTCTCCTTTGGTACCGGGTAAACCGATGAGCCCTGGAGCACCGGGGAGACCCTTAATGAAAAAAGAAACAAGGCATTGGGAGAGTTGCTGTAAGGCAGGTTTTCTGTCGACGGCCAGAAATGAGATACAGGAAAACAACTCACAGCGGGTCCAGCGTCGCCGTGGTCCCCCTTCTCACCGCTGTCGCCTTTTTCTCCCTTTGCACCGTCCAAGCCCTGCATAAATGAAACGGCATCAACCAAGAAGACCTGGCAGCTCTGTCCAGGACAGCCACCCTGCGCATCCACCGCCCCCTCCCACACCTCTGGGATTCTTACACCCGCACTGACATTAACATTTTCCTCTTGACCAGATCATGTAAGAAATAGTTGAAAATAAAGGTTTAAGCCTGCGGGTTTGGAAACCCTAACTCGCATGTGCCGTCGGCCCTCAGGACTCCATGCTGGAGGAGGATTCAAGATCGTAAATGCATTTGGAAGGAAAAATGGCTTGTTTTCCAAAACACCAACTGCTGAACAGCACAACCAAGGGATGTGTTGTCACAAACAGTGACAAAAAAATCAGTCCTCAGAGCTGACAGGCCTTTGTGAGCCTGTAAATAATGCACTGGCAGCCTGGAAACAGTGGGTGACATTTAATTTATTGACTTACTTTAGGTCCCTGGATTCCTGGAGGACCCTGCGGAAAAGACAATGGTGCATTTGAAAAAACAGAATTTAAAAACAAACCCCAAAGTTTGCTTCCCAAACCGTTTCTTGCTCAAATTATGGGCTGACAATGGCAAAATATTTCTTTTCAAGACAGGTGGCAGTTCGTTTGGTTCTCCGACATCAAATCAGGGGGAAGAGGAACTGAAAAGGACCGCTTTGCGTAACGTGCAACAATAAAGCTCTGCAACACGAGCTTTGGGGAGTGAGAGCCCCACAAGAGCTTTGCTGGGGCAAGTGACAGCAAAAGCTCTGGAGGGTGGCACTCAGCCACCACGGCTGTCCGAGCCCAGGGCAGGGCTGGGGACACTTCCCGGGCTATAAACGCTGCCTGGAAAGCCGCCTGGTTTTGAAGTGTGGTCTTTCAAGGTGTGTCTTGGACACAGCAGAGGCATCCCGACCTTCCTGATGCCCTTGACAGCTCCTCAGCTTTTTGGAGCATCGGAGGTACCAAACACCTTAGATATCTGCATCAAAAATACTCCGCGTGTTCATCACTGCCCGCATCCTGCCCCACTGCAGCTGATGGCAAAAAACTTACCGACTTGGGCACATTTGTGGGAATACAGGCATCGTCACGGGGGGAACAGGTTTTCCCATCCCACAAGTTTTTATCTTTTTCCCATCCCAAGGAACAACTTGATCATTTGCAAAATGCGCCACAAATGCTGATGTACTCTCCTAAATCAGGTGTTTCCATCTCTCTGACGACAGCACCCAACACTGTAGCTCTTCCCTGATTTTTTTCCCAGATTCACAGCAGCCCACAACAATTAAACAGAGCAAACCACCCCCGTCCTTAACTAACCACATGTGATAACAAATCTGCAGCAATGCTTAATTGCACGAATCACTTTCCAGAGTCCTACCATAGGGCCAGGTAATCCGGGGGGTCCGGGCTCGGGTATGATCTGCAGAAGGGGATTAAACAGCACGTTAATGGGCACAGAGAGAAGACAGTTCGGGAATGGAAACCTCACATGGCCCAGAATTATGATTTAATGCCCTCTAATTTAATGGCTTTAATCAAAATATCTGCTAATCAAAGAGTTGCTTGTAGGATTTATAAATAAATGAATCTTAATAAGCACATGGATCAAGCTGGCCTCTGAAATGAGAGGCGTGACCCACACTACTCAGTGTATTTGCCAGTGGCAAAATGGATGTATTGGAAAATGATGCAATTTTCTGCACGGACCGCAGATTAAAAAAAAAAAAAACAATCAAACAAAACAGAACAAAATTAGAACTCTCATGTCATTAATAAAAAACTATCAAAACCCACCACTTTTTCTTTTAAGCAAAAGGCATCAATAAGGAAAAAAGGATGCAGAAATCCTATAAAACTGCAAGGAGCCCACTATGTTTTTAAAACAAAATATGATTATAACAGCAGCATCCAATATCTCAACCATCAATGCAAAATCAAAAGTAACTTTGTCGTGCTGAGTGTGCAAAATATTCTTCCCTAACGAACAAACCCCATTTAGACGCATCTGAAAGTTCTTGTAGGAAACAGTCGGATTTTGCTCCCCTCTGTTACGCTGATGGATACAGAACCGGCGGCTCCAGCCTGCACACCCCGATGTCGCCTGACCCCGTGTCGCAGAAGAGGCTTTATGGTGCCAGGATCTTACATGATTATTCTGCAAACACGGTGACCCAGTGTCTCCTTTTTCTCCTTTGTCTCCTTTTGGCCCTTCTGCTCCCTAAAAGATAAAAGTAATGCTGATGTGGTGCATCTTCCAGGAAAGCAAAAACAAGAGAAAAATAAAAGTGTCTTCTTCTAAACTCCAGCCTGGGCTCAAGCACAGCTCTTGTTCATCCCCGCAGGACTGCTTGAAAAAAGATTTTCTCTTCCTTGCTACCGGCTTAGACCACCTTCTGAATAAGCCCTTATCATCATCATTACCAAAGAAAATTCAAAGCTCCCGCATCCTCCAGCTCCACAGTAACGCGGTGTAGACAGGCCATTGCTTAGATCAGCAAACCCGGCCACATACCGAGCATCTGCAGAGATCAATGCATTAAAGAACCAAGCAGCAGATGTACAGGGACAGAAAGAGGGACGTACCGGTGGACCTGATAAGCCCATTTCTCCTGTCTCTCCTTTCTGTCCCGTGATCCCTGCGCTGCCCTGGTCACCCTTCGCTCCTTTGGGACCCTGGAAGTTTACAGAAAACAACTTGCTTAGGTCAAAACTGTTAAAAGCCCCCCCACCAACCCTTTCTGCCTTGCTGTTGTTTCTCTCCATATCGCAGCACAAGCTCATGAAAACATGTTTTAATGTTAAAACATACGCCAATTTTGCAGGCGCAGCAGAATTTGGCTGGGCCATAGCAGGGATTGCAGCCATTTCGGGTTGGGAAGGTTTACAACAGAATTTGAGAGAATGTCTGATGAACCACTCGTAAAAGGAGCCCCTTTAGCTCGCAGATGTGGCCACAAGCAGCATCTGCATGCTCACAGCTGAGCGCGGGGCTGTAAGCAATGGGCGATTAACTCAAGGAGATGCAGCTGAACATTATGGGGCAGAGCTTGCTCCTGGCAGGCCGAGATTTGCTTTTCACAGCAGCAGCTCTCACAGACACACAGTAAACTCCTTTTTGACTCGGCTCCTGCAAGGTCTCGCTCAATCAGCCATGCCCCACGCACCTTTTCACCGTCCAGTCCAGGTGGACCCGGCAAGCCCAGCTCTCCCTGAAGCGACACAAAGAAAGGGGAGCCCATGGTAAGTTACATCAAGAAATCATCTCAGGAAAGCATTTTGCAAGGAAACGAGTTATTCATGTGTATCAACTGTTGTGGTTATGGGTTTGGCATTGCCAGGCTCAGGAGCAGCAGCAAGGAGGCTTCAGTGATGTGCCAGCATTACCGGCTCATCCGAATTTGGGCGACACAGAGACCTCGAGAGGCACCGAAATCCTGCCCCATCCTGTTCTTCCAAGAGATGCTTTTCTGCAAGGTAAATTCTTCTTTTAAAGAAACTACAGCTGACTGTAGGTTACTGCTATTGCTTGTGCAGCGGGAGGACAGTGCGGTCCCGCTTGGACACGGTGCTGGGGCAGCAAAAAGCGCATTGGGAGAGCGGGATGGAGGGTGGCTTGACACAGCTTTTGGGACCGCCAGCCCCTCCTCACAACTGCTTCTCCCATTTATCCTGCCTCCCGCCGCGTGCAATGAGGACATCTTGGGGGGGCTGGATTTCACCCGTCAGGTGTCAGACCGGGAGTGGATTCGTTTCTAGGGCAGCGTCCTCTGGAAGAGGCTGGAGACCAAAGAAAGGCCAACAAAACTTTGGCTTTTGTGCAAAAACCTCCTTTCTCAGCCCGAGGAAGTGTTAAATAGTATTTCCTTTACCACGCGTAGTCTCAAGCCAGCATCGCCTGCCTTATTTTGGCTTGGGAGACACTTGCTACATGGAGAGTCGCTAACGACCACGTCGCTCGCTAGGAAACACCATCTGCATGGCAGAGGTCGGGCTTACCTTGGGACCTGGAGCGCCTTGGGGGCCCGGTGGCCCTGGGGGACCTGGTGAACCCTGAAACACAGCAAACAAACCGGGCATGAGCATGACTAATATGAATATGGCACACTATCCTTGTGCTGCTGGGGATGAGCTGGGAGCAGCTCCCAACCGCCATCTGCAACAGACACTCATGTGACCGGGGTTGCCCAAACACCACGATGAGCTCGGCTGACACAAGGTGACCCAAGGGCCCCTCCAGCACATGTTTTTTGTTCATGCAAAAGAAAACACAACCGGAGCTAGCCGCGTGTACAGGTGCAGGTGTACAATAAGAGGCAAAATGCCTTTAGCCGGAGAGGTGGCCCCAAATCTGGCGGTCTCTTTTTGCATTCTCCCCCCTCCAGCCAGCCCGGCTGGGGAGAAGCATCCCGCTGAAAATAGCGACAACCAGCCGGGGAGGTGCAATTAAAGAGGGGAAATGAAGGAGTTTGTGTGAGCACTAGCAGCAGGAAAACCTTGCACACTTAAGGAAGCTGTTTTTTCTGGGCACTGTTGGGTGCAGAGACCATGAACCGCCTTGAGATGAACAAGCATTTTGGAACTTGCAAATTATCTCAAACAGGAAAACTCATGGTCTCGCTCAGCTGAAAAACAAAACCGTATCACATCCCCAAGCACCTTCTTCCATGACTGCATACTCAAATACTGTTACATTTAATCACACTGGAAGCCGTGTAAAGCCACCCATTTCCAAAGCTCTGTCCACGAGACAGGTCAGTGCGCAAATGCCAAAAACATCTAATAAGCAGGAAACCAGCAAAGTTAAGGAGGTTCAAGGACATGCCCCTCGGCAATCTCCACACGCAGCACACGGGAAAGGGTCTGGGCCCAGCAGATGAAGTCTCCAGACATTTCATGGAGCCTCTCCAACCACCGCACTCCACAAACTCCACTCACAAAGCTGCATGCCGTGCAGACATTTGGCAAACGGTAATTACCATCACTTTGTGTATCCCTGCAGCCTGTCATAAAACAATTAGGATGGTTCTCAAATATGTCTGTAATTAAGTATTTATTCTATTCAGCTTCTTTCACCTTAACGAAAATGGCAGGGCGCTGCTCGGTCGGGCAGGTTAGGGCTTGGGCACCGTTTCCCTTCCTCCTGCATCCCAACCGCTGCTTGCGGAGAAAACCTCTCCAGAGGATGCGCAGTGAAAACCGCAGCTCCCATGCCGTGGGAATAACACCCCGCAGCCGGCAGTCGTTAAGCTGTAATTTGGCTGCTCACACCCGTTGCGTCAGGTGTTTATATGTCACAGGCTGCGTCGGGTTGCTTTTACCTGCAGAATATGAACTCGCATCCCACAGCCGGATCCCACAAGCCTGGTACCCAGCCTGAGTTCACAGCCTCAAGTTTTGCCAGCGTTTTTGCTGGTACATCCTAAATACCCTCAGCCCCCAGATGCAATAAGCTCTTCCCTCTGGCCAGCTCTGTCCTGAGACTGAGATCTTGGGACAGAGAAGTAGAGAGCAGCAGTTTTTCGGTCCTTTCCCATTAACCCGCAGGAATGGGCCTGGCCTTAGTGCAGGGCTTACCTTGAGCGCATCCAGGATTCGGCCGTCGTAGTCGATCACTACGGTGTCGCCCTGTTCCCCTTTCAGGCCAGGGGGACCCTGCAACCAGGCACGAATCCTATTTAGTTTTTGCAGCATCTGAGAAGCAGGTGGTACGAAAGCAAAGACCTGACACCCAGGTGTTTGGGGATTATCACCTTACAAACACCATCGATTTAATCAGTCCCTAGTCTGACAGCTGTAACTGTCATCCAACCAAACCTCAGAAGGGCATAGATTTGTGTAACAGAGAAGTGCATAGAAATCCTCACTTGATTACCCCTATTCACAGCCTCCCTCTTGCAAAAAATGGGTCACAGGATGGCCACATTGATAAGAAAATTGGACTTGACCGCATTTCCCAGAGCTATCTCCCGTGGCAGCGTTCGGTACCTACATGATGATTTGTTTAAATGTGCACCACTTATTTTCTAGCACTGAACTGATGCTGAAGCGATTCAACCACATCCTAAGCAGAAGGAGGTGGTGCGAAACAGCTCAGGTTGAGGCAAATACCTGACTCCAAACTGAAAAAGCAAAACCCTGAACATCCATACCCGGGGTCCAATGGAGCCAATTCCTCCCTTCTCACCAGGTTCACCCTGAAAATCAAAAATCACATTTTTGGTTCAAAGAGATCACAGAAAATATAGGATATTTATCTTAAAAAATACTGTAACTACATGAGATGCCAAGATGTGTTTTAGATTAAGAAAAAGTATGGCACCAACAAGGAACTGCTTCTCCTAGCAAAAAAGATAGATTTGACTTCAGAGCAAATATATTTTGCAAAAAATAATATTGGTGTGAGCTAGTTGACAGTAAGAAACCTTCTCATCGCAGAGGGAGCTGGGCGGCCGCTCAGGCTGAGCTCCTCGTAACGGCGATGTGCCGTGCTGCTCCCGGGCTCTGCTGCCTGCTCCGAGCGTGCCAAGCTCCGGCTCTTTGTGCTGAAGTTTCACATGGCTCTCTTTGCTTTAGGCTGAATTTTGCATGTGGAAAGTTTCAGCCAACACGTTTAGACCATTTTTGAGGGCGAGTTTAAGGAAAAGGGCTGTGCCAATTTTTTTTTTCTTTTTTTTCTCCCTCCCCCCC